GGCCTAGACAGGTGCATGAATGCTGTTGTCTTCTCCGTGCAAGGACACATCTTTCACCAAAGATGGGTTTTTTCCCAATACTTTTCAAAGAGTAAATAACAGGAGACAATAGCAAGGTCTTTAAACTCACCGGTGTGCATGATCAGAGCAAATCATGATCTGAGCACCAGATGCTTTCCTGTGCTTGACATTGTTCACTTTGTGTTGGATGATTTGATTAAAGCAGAAAAGTGGGAGTGTTTGGATTCTGGATTATATGCTCTCTACATACGAGTACCTGAGACGATTTCTTCTGTTTATTGTGACAATTGTAGATGAACTTTCCTAGAGTTAAATTCCAGACATCTCTGTCTAGCAGGCTTATCATGTTAAGATCACAGTCTTAAGAATGATCGCAAAACAGCACCCTTGTGCTTAATTGTCATGCTTCCACACAACTTCACATTTCGGTCTGATTTTCGTGTTGCCTGACTGTTATCAGCTGAAATATTTGACATTCGGTTTGGTTCTTTTTTCTGCCCCTCTTCTCTCTGACACGCAGTGGGGAGGAAGAACGAGATCACAGTTTTAAGGATTAACAGCTGTGTAGTGTAAAGTTGTTTTATCTTGCACCTTAGTTGCAGTTCTTAAGCTGATTTACCAAGAAAATGGTAGTGGGACCGTTCCTGTGTAATACAGTTTGAGTCTGGCCTAATGAAAATGTGCAGCCTGACAGACATGTTTAACAAAAAGACAGTATTGCAGAGGTACAACTGAATAGTGTGTTTGAGCAGTTCTGTTTTTAACGCTTCTGTTTAAAGCCTCCACGTGTTAAAATCCTAGTTGGAACAGATTTTTAAAGTCCTAAATATTTAATTCTACATACTGACTTTAATCGGTATAAGATCATCGATGTAGTCTCTTGATAAGGTATCAGATTTCCCTCTGTCCAGGTTTATTGATTGAATTGTTTTTCCGATTGTGCCCCAATATGAATTTTCTTTATCGGTGCTGGTCTCAAAAAAAGATGTCTGCATAGCGAATGAATTCAGCTGTCTAAAGGGAGTCAGAGCCTTAGAGGTAGGCCATGCTAATCAGAAGCCGAGCTCAAATCTGGTTTTGACACAGACCTGGTCTTAAAGGGTGTGTTGCTGGCACTCTGTTCAAGCCTCTTGAGTGTTGCGTAATCTGTTGCTGCAGGAACATTGCTGGTGACTTTCACTCCTGTCATCATGCCGTAGGTAGTGTGAGCAGGAAATTACTCAGGTCTGCCTACCTGGGCTTTCAATCCCCCCTGAGCTAGCAGATTTGTAAAAACAAAACCATGGGGCCGCTGGGTTGTCCCAAATGTTAATGAGCTGTTTTAGCAGCTTTAAACTGGTGGTAGGCATGAGTTTGGATATGACTCCACATTTGTAAAAATCCCATCCTCTGATAGATAGGGGACAGCAGGTTGTGTTTGGTTACACTCTGTTCCTGCTTATCTCCTTGTTTACAAAGCATTCAGTGTAGGGAGCTGAAGAATTTCTTGGAACAGTAAAAAAAAAAAAAGAAGCATTTCCTGGAAATGTCTTCCCTGCCTGACTGCCTCGCTGCTGCCTGCAGAGCTCTGGCTGTGCAGTGCTGCCCCAGTTCTGAGAGAGACAACTGCCCCGCTCAGCTGTCCCCAGGGGGCGGAGAGGAAGACCACCTCCAGCTCTCCAGGCAGGGTAGGCCCTGATGCGATGCAGGACCCCCCCGAAAGCCGTCGTTTTCAGCGTGAGATGGACGGGCTGCCTCTAAGTGAAACTAGCTAGCTTGCCTGCCTGGCAGTCACTGCCACATCACATCGCAACGTCATCTACCTGACTGAGCACAGAGGGCGGAGAGTCAAGAGGGCTTGGCTTCGCATTGACTCCCACTTTAACCCTTTTGCTGCTTCAGTGAACTTCTTCCTAGACATGCTGCTGCACGGTGGCGACAGTGTTTTATCTCCCCTTCTCCAGTGTGCACCAGAGTAACTGATTAATTGATACAGGGTATACTGTCCTGCAGCTGCAATGAACATAGTTGTTTCAATGCTCAATGTCATGTTTCTAAGAAGTGCTGCCTCAGTGCCCTGTCTTGGTGAGCTGTGCTGTTTTTTTTTAGATCAGATCATTTTATTGGCCATATACAATTTTTTTTTGCATACCCCAACTTGCTCTCCATGAGACACACAGACAGGGAGAGATGCTTGGGGCCAGAGCGCAGGGTCAGCCATTTATACGGCGCCCCTGGAGCAGTTGGGGTTAAGGGTGTTGCTCAGGGGCCCAACGGTGTAGGATTCCTCTGCCGGCAAATGGCAACCTTCCAGCCTCAAGCGCAGATCCTTAGCCACGGAGCTACCGCACCACATCTCGCAGTTGTAGATGCTTTGAACTGAATGGCAAATCGCACTGGTTCACTATTTAGAGTCCACTGCACATGTAAGACAGATTCTGTTATCAAACGCGCTATTCATTAAATGAAATCGCAAGTATTTTGGATGACGTTGCATTGATTGATCAGATTTGGACCCTTTGGTTATAGTGTGTTTGCTCTTGTGATGTTAGTTTAACACATACATTTCAGACTTTGTATTACAAATATTTGACTTTATTTTCTTCTGTTCTCCCATGTTATTTCATTGACAGGAGCGCAGACAATGTTATGCTTCTGGGAAACCCATTAATATATTATTACCCCTCCTCGAAAAAAAGTATTTTTCTCCAAACTGGACAAAGCCACCTTGCAGCTGAATATTGGTCCTTCCAAACAAACAGGATTAGGAATGTGTGAAAAGGTGTGACTACCAGTATATTCAGTCAGGCTGCAATGGATTGACGTTAGTGTGCCCACAGAGATCTGGGTCTTTCTAGAAAAATGATTGCATTTTTAGAACTGTTGTACGCTAAATTTTTAAATATGTTTTAAGGATGTAGAATAGGTGGTCAAACAGATAATAATCTTGACTATTTTTTGTAGGTTTCTAAAAATGAGCTTTATATGAGTGAACTGAAAAGTCTCACAGTCATTCAGTAACTTACAGAATAAATCTTTGCGGTTAGTTTGCTTTCTGTTTTTGGTGAATGGCATTTGCAACCTTTTCTTGCTTGGTAGTTGCTAAATCTGGACTTGCTTAATTCATATGACAGAATGTCTTGTGTTCTGTTTTTGGAAAGCCATTAGGTAAGCCACTTCTTTATTTGCGAATTGTAATTTGTGATCACATTGCTCTTCCCTGCAAACCGGGTTGGAATTCATATGTGACTCCTATGCTGTAGGCTAAAGCAGAAACCTCAGGACTCTTTGCCGGAACACATTGTCATGTAAGACTTTGTCTCTGCTCTTTGAGCCTTTGCTCGGGGGCAGCAGTGCCCTTTAGTTTGATACTGTCATCTGTGTTGATTTGTCTGCTGCTCTGGTGGCCTGCTCAGTGTTCAGGTACATTCACACAAGCTTGTCAGGTGAGTTCTGAACCCCTTGGATTTTGATGGCCCCACCGACTGAACGTTGTGTGGGCCCCAGTGCGGTGAAGAATGTGACTGTGCAGCTAAAATAGTTATCAGTGTCACTCAAACGGCGAAGAACCCTTTCCCCCATACCTCCCCTACGATACTTTGATTTGAATTTTTCCTCCTCTTCCTCCACCCACCCCCGTCCTCTGGGTCTAGTGGCAGTTTGTGGCTTTTACAGAACAGCTAGAGACAGCTGTTGCTCCGCTGTGTCTGGCCTTAGAATGGATAATACGAAGGGCACTGGAAATCAGTCGTGCTCTGAATGACTCAACCCACATCAGCGAGATTAAACTTAACCCCTCTCTCCCCAACATTCTGCCATTTAATTAATGCTTTCCAGTGCTATTTTCTATGAATGACGCCCAGTTAATCTTAATCTCCCTGCTTGGTGCACATTGCTTGTGCTTATCGCCATGTCTCCATTTCCTGGTTATGACACAGGAGCATTAAATACCAAAAAAGGATTTTGCTCTGTAAACGTGCAGTGTGAAGGACATGGGAAATAAATCAAGCTTATCTTTTAGAAAGTTAGCTTGAATGCAGATGATGCAATAATCAATAAACAAATCAATAAATACCTTCAGTCATGCAGTTACTCAGGAAGCTGAATTTCGTAGTACTGCATAGGGTTTGTTTCTTTATAGGTCGTGCGTGATTCAGTGATTCATAGTGTACCCCAGTGCTTCAGTAGGAGATATCATCAAAGACTCACCTAGGTTTTTTTTTACATTATTCTAAAATAATTACGCAATATTAAATTAAAATCCCTTTCAGAGATTACAGATTCATATCACTGCACTGTAGACTAACATTCTGATTAGCATTCAAAAGTTCTGCAGAGATAGACTTGCCAGATTTGGCAGTTGGCTCCTCTGAACCCAGTGTGTCAAATAGAAAACGAAAGAATTGAAGGTCAGATAGGTTTTGAGCTCAAGTCATTTGCAAATGGCTTTGCACATCCGCCAGGCTGACTGAATTCCAGGTCAGAGTTGCTGCTTGAAATATTGCGAATATCTGCGTGAGAAAACCTCATTAGCCAAGCTTCTAACAAAGAAACAGTCATTTCAGGTCTCTCTATGATGTCACAGAGTTATGCCATTATCTAGATGTACGTTGTGTGACCTCATCGGCAAGGTTTATTTTTAAAGAATGAAGACCAGGCTTGTTTGTTTCCCTCTCAAAACAATTCTAAGAAAATTCATTTTTAGAAACAATTTAAGTGTGGGGACCTTTTTTTCATTTTGCATTCTTTAGCTCGCAGTGTGAATGAAATTCAAACTGTAGTTGATGGTATTCACCTCTTTCATGATTTTGAAGTGAAATGTAGTATATAGTAAAATTAGTCAAATGAAACAGCATGTTACACCTCTAACATGGTTTTTTTTTATTTGATTTGAGATGTACGCACGTTTTACCTATCGAAATTTGGATTTGGCAGTCTCTTAAGAAAGTCTCTTAAAAAAGCAAACTAACGTCCGTTTTATCTTTCTTGTTCTCCACAAGGACCTCTCCTGCATCGATGAACTTTCCAACCCCTCTCTGTTCTCTTCGCCCCCCGACTCCTTGTCCGAATATGCAGACGCACCGAACTTCCTCAACACTAGCACGGATAACCTGCCACATGTGCCAACACTATGGGACATCAACACGCCCTCACAGAACCCTCTGGAGGTTAGTCTGCAGGAGAGAGACCTTAACCCTCAGGAGCGCGTAGGCGTCACATTCTCACGCTGACAGAACAGATACACTCCTCTGAGAAAGGCAGAGTTGATTATTTTGACTCACTTTATTAAAAAAAAAAAGTCTCTCTTTGGCATTCGAAGAATCTTTCCAGATTGAATTAGCCGCTCTGGGCTTTTTGCAAATGTTACTTGTATTAATCAGCTTCTCACAGAACGGTTGATTGATTGCCTGGGGCCATCGTTAAGTTTTAAAATGCACGTTGATTACCTCTTCAATTTTTAATAGCCTCGGCGTAAAAAAAAAAAAAGCCTGGCAGTCTTCCTCTGTCGTCCATCTATCGCAGGATCCAGTTGTGAGAGATAAATGTCTTTTACATGCTGTGGTTCCTGCTGCAGGTAGTGGGGATTGACAGGGGCCTGTATCCCAGTTTCCACTGGCTATTTGTACGAATCGTGATCTGTCTTGTCAACAGTTTCAGCTACTACAGACCTTGGCATTTTAGCACTGTTGCCTCTCAGCTCTAGGGTGCGGGTTTTGATACATGAGCTTCCTGTGTGAGCTAGTGTTACAAAATACTGACATACTAGATTGAACACACAAAGCAAATCAGAAACCGCTCTTTACAATGTTGTCAGAAACATTTTGGTTGTGTGTATATCTTAGTGTTTTTTATGTTGGGGTGAGGGAGAGAGTCTAGATTAGGATGATTTGTTAGTCTGAAGGTTTTCTTGGTGCTGCAGTGTTGCTTACAGTGACACCTTAATTAAACATTCTTGCATGGGGACACTACTGTATGAATGTACTGGCCTGTATAGTAAGCCACTGCCTTGACCTTTTCTGTGCTGTCACCCTTCTCCCTGTTAATCTGATTTTCTTTTGCATGTCTTTGTCACAGTTCTGTGTAAAATAAAGGAGACTTGTAAGAGGTGAAGACCAATACCTCCTGCCAGGCTTTCCCTTTTCCTGATTTTAATTCATTTCAGTCAATAATTTCAAAAGGCTCTGCCATGCAGTCATCTAAGGGTGTTGGGGGGGAGCTTTGCCCTGCATGTGCATTTATTTAACCAAGAACTGACATTTTCTCTGGACTGTTTAAAAGACCTGTGCAACAGTGCATGTGGAGTAGTTCGTGTCTGTGTGTACTGTATAAAGATGACATTTGCATTTATGAAGAACGGAATCTTGCATTTCACCATGTTTACTGTTTATTTTTTATATTTGGGTTTCAAGTGTTTAGACATTTTCCATGCCAGGAGTTTATTCAAACTTTTTCTTTCTGTGTTGCAGCTGAGTGCCACCAGGTTTCAGGGGTTAAACAGTTTGGAAGACATCTCTGACATTATCACCCCCTCTCTTGGCGGATACCAGGTAGACTGTGGGCCTCTGTTTGTAAATGTATCCAAAGAAAACTTCTGATTCACTTAAGATTCCAGGGATTAGGCCACTCTTCTCTTTATAGAGATCCACTGCGTTTTTTTATGAATTATTTGATGCTTACATCGTCATGCACAAGGAGATTTGCCCAAATGTATTTTAAAATGTGCCTGTTGATCCTACCATTTATTTTTAGTTCTCTTAACTAATACCTTTGTAGTCTTCTATTCTTCTTCCCAGTCAAATATGTTATTCTTGCAGCGTGTTTGAGTTTTATGGTCTACAGAGTCTCTTGTTTGCAACGCATCTTCGCTAAACGCCCATACGTCACTTCCCTGTGCACTCTTCCCCTCCACTCCAGCGTCCCCAGCCTCCTGCTGAAGAAGAGGAGGATGCCGAGGAAGAAGAGACTGAGGAATTGGGCCACGTGGAGACCTACGCGGTCTACAAGCCATCCAAATGTATGACCAGTTTGTCAACTTATCTGTGCTTCTTTACTCATGCAAAACATTTAGTAAAACAATCTAAAAACAACAACAAAACATCTTTCATCTCTCTGCAGCTAAAATAGGCATCCCTCATCCTGATATTGTTGTTGAAACAAACACATTGTCCAGCGTTCCCCCACCTGACATAACGTATACGCTGTCCATTCCTGAAACCACTATCAAAAACGGATTGCTCTCTGATCTACAGCTAGAGGCCGTCATATATAGCTGCCAGGTAATTTCTCCTTTGTTTGCAGTGTGTCTAGATTTCATGCAGTTGCTGTGTTGTGCACTGATTGCTGTAATGTGTGCCTGGTGCAGTGGACTATCCTTTCTAATCCATTTTTGCCTCAGAACATCCTTAGATTAATATATGTGTTTTTCACAGTTGTGATGAGTTAAAACAATTGTCTCTCAAAGCCAAGCATTGAATATTTATTTCACATGAGGGTTATCTTAGAAACATTAGATGCTGTAGACAGCAGTGCCTTTTGCTGCCACCAAAGCAACACCAATCAATGTTCAGCAATTCTGTTCTTTTCCATCTTGATTCCCAGCAACATGAGGTGATCCTGCAGAATCGACAAAGAGCAGGATTCCTAATCGGAGACGGAGCAGGAGTGGGAAAAGGCAGAACTGTAGCAGGCATTATCTTGGAAAACTACTTAAAGGGAAGAAAAAAGGCATTGTGGTAAGGGATTAAGAGATAGGCAAACTCTAGTGTTCAGTTCCCAGGTTTGGGAGTATCCACAATTCTGTTAAATTATGGTTCAAGTAGTGTTCTTTTCTTAATGTGGATTATACTTTTGTCTTCAGGTTCAGTGTATCCAATGATCTAAAGTACGATGCTGAGAGAGATCTCAAAGACATTGATGCTCCAAATATCCCTGTGCATGCCTTAAACAAGGTGAGACTGAAGACCCAAAGAGGAGAAATCAGTTTTTCTTGGCTCTGTGTTGTTAATGTCTGATGCCACAGGAAATAAACAATTCTTCTCAAGGGCACTGCTCTGTCCAAGGCCCTGTTGTGAGCCAAGCAGTTGTTTCTGTTAAGGACCCAATCGTTCGTTAACATGGAAATTGTGTTACTGTTGAGTTTGAAGGAGATGACGTAGTGATGATTAACTGTTGGAGCCACCGTGATTATTTATTTTGTGTAATAGAAACTTACTGAGACCAGAAACATTTGCACAGTATAGGTTCTAGATATAATTCATATTTTAATTTGAATTTAATACTTGCATTTCATAACTGTCACGTAAATAATCCTTTATAAAACCTAATCATAGGAGCAGAAATTTTATTCTACTCCTTTATCTTATAAATGCTTATAAATAACTAGTCACAGGCTACTGAGCAATTATGTGTCCCATTAATCTAGGATGGGGGTCTTCTCTGATGGTCCTGGAAACCCCAGTCCAGCAGGTCTTATAGATAATCATCAAATCATTAATTTCCAAAGACCTGTATCAGTTTACCCACTATATATTAAAGAAGTGTTTTTTTCTCAGTGAAAGTACTTGTATCAGAATACCCTTCTGCTTCTCAAGGCTGAGACTTCCCTTCACTGAACTTCATTGATTCGTTGATTGATCAATACTATAAACAAATATCTTACTCTTTAAAAGTTTATATAATTGACTGCGGCTCTCAGGGACTAGGGTTTGAGACCCTGGTTGTAGGCAGCTGTTCTGGTCAGTGTTCAGTGCACCTGATGCTCATCTCCTCTCCTCAGATTAAGTATGGTGACACAGCTACCTCAGAAGGAGTTCTTTTTGCTACATACTCTGCGCTGATTGGGGAGAGCCAGGCTGGTGGGCAGCACCGTACCAGACTGACGCAGATCCTGGACTGGTGTAAACCGGACTTCGATGGAGTTGTATCCTTTCATTTGCTTTTCTGCATTGGTTCATGAGACGTGTTTTTATCGTCCCCAGTGAATGTTTTTTCCCATATTCTTCCCGATTCTCTCATTGGCCTTGCAACGTTCCTGGTTAAAAGCAGCCAAGTGGTTTGGGGAAGCATAACGGCACTGTCCAGGGCTCTGAAGACTATTGATAAAGCACTGTGAAACAAGTCACAGGCAGTGCCACAGGGAATACAAAAGGCTATAACAGTGCGATGGGAAGCAGTAACTGTGGAGCAGAGACAGATGGCAGCATCTGAGCTGCATTGGCGCGCAACGTGTCGTTTGTTTTCCTTAATGGCCGCTCCCCTGCAGATCGTGTTTGACGAATGCCACAAAGCCAAAAACGCCACGTCCACGAAGATGGGCAAGGCTGTCCTGGACCTGCAAAACAAGCTGCCCAATGCCAGGGTGGTTTACGCCAGTGCCACAGGTGAGGAATCGTATAGTTTGATAAATTTGCGTTCGTGAGACACTTCGGAGATCTTTCCTTTTCCACAGTGTTCTTGACCCCCTAGTCCCATCAGCTGCTGTGGGCGCCTTCTCTCACATGCTCGGGGAGTGTCCAGAAGCGGTTAAGTTTCTGGAAACTACAGGTTTCCCTCTCTTTGTCCACTTTTTTTTTTAAGCAAGGATATTCTTTATGCTCCCTTAGTACTCGATTCATGATCTCTTGCTCCGACAATAACAGATCTAGCAGGATGTTCCCGCCTCTACTAGACAGATTTTTCCTCTCCCGGCATCACTGGATCCTGTCTGATCCTGACATGAATTGTATGGCGCTCCTTGTAGCTGAGATCTGCAGGGCAGGGCGGGGCGGCAGGCAGTGCAAGCTTAGAGCAGCGCTGCTGCTGGTCAGATCTTATTGCGCAGGGCATCCATTGCAGTTGCCTGACTTTAGTTTTCTCTATTCTCTATTCCTGCCTTTCAAGGTGCCTCTGAGCCAAAGAACATGATCTACATGAGCCGGCTGGGAATCTGGGGGGAAGGAACCCCCTTTAAGACATTTGAGGACTTCCTGCACGCCATTGAGAAAAGGTCTGTTGCGGTAAATTCTGTATTATTATTATGTAATGTTTTTTTTTTCCCCAATATGGGAGATATGTCCTTCTGTCTTTAACAGAAATAGTTTAGCTTGATGGAATTGAATTTCAGGACCTTATCAGAACAGTTGTTTTGCCGATCGTGACCTGGGCAATATGTGCTGCTTATCCAGTTGTGTACAATGTCCTTGTGATTCTACAGAGGGGTGGGCGCCATGGAGATTGTTGCCATGGATATGAAAGTCAGTGGGATGTACATCGCACGGCAGCTCAGCTTTTCAGGAGTTTCATTCCGGATAGAGGAGATCAGTCTGGACAATGACTTCATGATGGTCTACAACAAAGCTGCAAAACTGGTGAGGAAGCCCGTGACTTACCATAAACCAATTAACAAAAGTAAATGAAATCCAATCTTTCTTTACTACAGACTAAAATGGGCTGGCTGGGTTTATTGCCCCCTCCCCCCCCCTGTTTATTGTTGTCGTTGTTTCTGCAGAGTTCAAAGTTTTTCCGAGCCCAAAATCACGTCAACTTGCGATTTCTGGCTGATTATATCAGATTTTCCATATTGGTTTCCGGTATTCTTTATCTGATCTGGTTTGTGTTGCTTTGCCATGGCAAATGAATGATGCAATAGAAATAACCTGCACTGCCTGTGTTCATTGAAAAGAAATGAGCTACCAGTACTTTTCTGTTGTCCTGCGTTCCACTGCCAGGCCCTTTTCCAACTGATTAGCAATAGAAAGAGCTGCCTCTGCAGGTTCCATTTAGCACAACCCTTAGCCATCCAGTCGCCCCCACCCTTCCTGAGATGTGACCTTTGTCCGCCTCTTGCTTGCAGTGGGCTGAAGCCCTGATGGTGTTCCAGCGGGCGGCAGACGACCTGGGCCTGGTTTCTCGCAAGTCCCTCTGGGGCCAGTTCTGGTCGTCGCACCAGCGCTTCTTCAAATACCTCTGCATCGCCGCCAAAGTGCGCCGCCTGGTGCAGCTGGCGGAGAAGGAGCTGCTCAGTGGCAAGGTGGGTGTCCTCCGCAGGCGTGGGATCTCGGGCAGCGTGGCGTGTGGGGGCGCCCGTCATGCGTGATTCTGCCTGCCTCTTAGAGTACATGGCACGCCATCATCATAAAGTCCACAATAAACACGTCTTTATCTGAAGATCCATCCATCGATGCCATTTGGCGCTGGAAAAATACATATGTTAAGGACTTCTGATGTTCTCTTGGCAGGAGGTCAGGTTGCACAGGGGTTCAAAACAAGAAAGTCTTTGGAGAATCTAATCTCGATTCTCGATCGCTCGTAATGTTGTAGGAGTTTCTCTCTCTGTGCATAAGAATCCCATACATAAAAAAGGCCGAGTTTGTGCGAACGCGCCCTCTGGGTGGTGCACAGTGTGGTGCGCTTGTGAGCCCTGACCTGGACACTGTACCCCTGCTCCTACAGTGCATCGTGATTGGACTGCAGTCCACCGGGGAGGCCCGCACCAGAGAGGTCCTGGACGAGAACGATGGCCATCTGGACAGATTCGTCTCTGCAGCAGAGTGAGTAAATCGGAGAGCTGAAGGGGTCCTAGCCAGCCTTATTCAAGTCGGGCACTTTTTAACGCTGACTTCCTGTATGATCTGGAAGGAAAGTAAATCACAGTAGAATAATTGTAATATCAATTATAAAACATGAAAACTGCTTATAAAAAACTGAAACTGCTTATATTTTCTAAGATGCCTTCAGGTTTTTGTGGGTTCTTCCCTGCAACTCTTTAGGTATCCCCAAATGTTTTTGTTTGTACATTGTCTTGATGCACTGTTTGCACTTTGTCCTGTTTTTTACACTTGTTTTACAATCGAGAGACTTCCTGTAAGTAAGAATTCCATTGTACCAGTACCGGTTACATATGGCACTAAAGTTCAAGTTCAAGTTCAAGTTCAAGTTCAAATGTCCCTGGACTGCAATTTAAAAACCATTGGGATGGAATACATTACACAGAGAATACCAAGAATCTACTTGAATCTCTCAATATTTTGCTAAAGGGCACATGAGACTCATACTTGTGTTTACTGTATAATTAGTCAGTTAGTATGCTGATGAAAACATTTTCTTGTCTGCATTTATTAAAACTAAGCTATTGGCATTTTGTTCAGCATTTTATAATATTTACTTGTTGACTCATATTAGACTTCTGTGACTTTGTGGGTTATGAATCAGGAGTCCCTGAATTCCTTGTTCTTTCTTCCCTCATTTCATCCTGACAGACTGAGGTAGCGACAGAAGATTTCCTTTAAAGCTTGCTCAATGAGATGTTATCAAAGTATATATTACACATGGCTATGTTTCTGTGGCTTGCAGTATGATGTGCCTCTGTTTCTGTGTCTGAAAGTAGCTGCGGTATTTAAACATTTCATAGGTCATTGCTGTTGAATAAATTGGATTCTGAATTGAGTCTTCTGTCATGTGTAGCCCTCAGTCAGCTTGTGTTTGACTTTATGAAAGGGTACACAAGCTGTGTGCGTAAAAGAAATCTTCTCAGAGATCGGACTCTCTCATTACAACTCCCTAACTCTTGGTTCAATGCCACATTTGGTGGAATTCTGGCATTTGCTTTATTGCACACGAGATGCGTGTGCTGTTATTCATATTTCTCTTGAGCTTCATTGAGCTGTGCTGTAAGAATATTTCGTGTTGCCTCTTCCACAGGGGTGTATTTCAGTCTTTGGTGCTGAAGCACTTCCCGTCTGAGAAGCAGAAAAGAGAAAAGGGGGCTGGAAACAAAAGGAAACGTAAGAAAACCAATCCTTTTTTTTCTTTTTTTAAAACATATTTAGGAGTTCAGAAGTACTGCAGGTTAAGAACATGAAAAAGCCCGGTAGACAGATGTTGTAATAATTGCGGTTTACTAGGAAAAAACATAATCGCAGTTGTAGCCAAAACCAAACTTAATTGCTGTCTACTTAATTACTACTATATAATGCTCTTGTTATCAAATGTGTTAAAACAGGGGCACAAGACGCCACCTGTCACCTGTGAAGATGAGAGACCCCTTATATAAATTAGGCAGAAATCCTGGATTTCCAGTTTCCAGAAATCCAGAACCCTGTAGGTGGATCAAGCTGCTTACCATTTTCCTGGGCATTCAGATCTTCCCCTTCCTCCCTGTCAGACTTACCTATTTGCAATGCATGAGACATTGTCATCTGGTTCTTGGGGCTTCCCCCCACCCCAGTTGCTTTCTGGATCTGCCCCTGTCAGATCAGATCAGATCACTTTATTGGCCCTATACAATTTCTTGCATTAGGAATGTGTCTTTTCGCATACCCCAACTTGCTCTCCATGAGACACAGACAGGGAGAGAAGCTGGGGGTCAGTGTGCAGGATCACCCATTTACACTGGAGCAGTTGGAGTTAAGGGCCTTGCTCAGGGGCCCAATGGAGCAGGATTCCTCTGCCGGCTGCAAGATACAAACTGGCAACCTTCCAGTCACAGGCGCAGATCCTGAGCCACTGAGCCACCGCCCCGCCCGTGAGGTGTCAAGGTCCCGAAAGGTGACCTGGTACTACAGGTGCTGAGCATGTTCTTGGCCTTTCAGGTAAGACCAAAGGGCGCCAGCCGAAGTTCCCAAAGCACTGCGTGGACGCTGGGGGTGTGATCAACATCAGCGACGACAGCAGCACCGAGTCCGACGGGGTGGACAGCGACTCCAACTCGTCCCCCGAGTCCCTCCTGGACAACGACGACGTCATCTTTGTCAACCACACTAACTGTCACACTGGTACGTCCCCCTCCGCCCGGCTGATGGGGTGCCGCATGTACGCCGGGGATCCGGGGGTTTTAATTTGTTTGGATTTGTACAGGAATCCTGTTGCAAGGAACTGAAACGCGTGCTAATCATTTGTCTTGTGTGGTTTTCCTGCCTTTTATTTTGACAGCGAAACTAGAAGAAATCAAGCAAGACCTCCTAAAAAAGATCGAAGACCTGGGAAAGGACCTACCTCTTAATACCTTGGACGAACTGATAGACCGGTTCGGCGGACCTGAGCGCGTTTCTGAGGTAGCCCCGCGAGTTGTCCAAAGGCGTGTGCAAGAGCACGTGTTTTTTTGTACGTTTCTTCGACACCCACCCCCACCCCAACGCGCGTTTCTTGTCATCCTCTAGATGACGGGACGCAAGGGGCGCGTGGTCCGGCGCCCAGACGGCAGCGTGCGGTACGAGTCCCGCGCCGAGCAGGGCCTCACCATCGACCACGTCAACATCAAGGAGAAGGAGCGGTTCATGAACGGGGAGAAGGTGGGCAGCTTCCTGGGGTTTAGGCCCCTAGAGGTCTGATCAGGGCGCCGGCTGAGCCCGCTGATCCTTCACCCCCGGGTGCTCGTGGCGGTTGGCGTGGCACGCAGCAGAAAGGCACGGGATGAGAGCTCCCTTGCCCTTGTTTAAGAAGTGTCTTTTCCCACAGTGCCGTGCTTGTGGTTCCTATCTCTCCTGAAGGATTAGCGTGTAGTTCAGGAGTCTCATTCTAAGCTCTTGGCCTGCCCTTCTTGTCATTCCTCTGCGTCGTTAATGAAAGACCCTGAGAACAGCTGAGTTCCCCCGGGCTGCGTAAGGAGGAGTCCTGCAGTAGTGTGGCCTCATGAGCTTCAGTGCAGCCGTAGTGTAAGTCGGCCCCTGCTTGCCCCTGCGTTGACGTGGCACTCCTGTCTGATCCTCCTCACTCTGCTCAACAGCTGGTAGCCATCATCTCCGAAGCCGCCAGCTCTGGGATCTCTCTGCAGGCTGATAAGCGCGTGAAGAACCAGAGACGGAGGGTCCACATGACCTTGGAGCTGCCCTGGAGCGCCGACCGGGCCATCCAGCAGTTCGGTTAGTGGAGCTCACTGACAAAGACCCTCATATACATGACTGAGCTTGCACCCGCGCTCAGGGACCCAGACTCCGAATCCAGGCTTCAGAGCACCTCGAAAGGCATACTGATATGGAAATCCCTGTTGTTTAACAAGCACTACTTTTTGCATATATGTGTAGTCCTGTACATTGTGATCTGAATCTAAAATGCCAAAAGAATGCACATTCATGCTTTTAATTTAATAATTGCCTGAAAATGCAATATAAGCAAATAAAGACAATAACCTAGGGCAAAGCTGTTCAGTGAAAACAGGAAAATTCAGATACCCCAAGAGTAATTAGTAAATGACCTGCTGACGATTTATCTGAAGGTGCATTTGACTTCAAACTAAAGACGAGTTCTTGTGAAACTTTTCAACAGATGTGTATCAGTAGCTGGTGATGCAGGGCGGTGCATCTCCACTGCCTTGTTTTGTGAAAAAAAATGAAACTTAAAAAGAAACCCAAGGTGTGAAACCACACTGGCAGTGGATTGAACTTCTGTACTGTGAAGCAATTATTTATAGCTTCTCTCTTACAAGGTTTCTTGTGCGCAAATGCATGTGATTAAATGTTGCAATGCAAAGCCTCTGATGGTGTGGCACTGTGCTGTGTTTGAACCTACGGTTTAGAATGAGTCTGGTGACCTTTATCATTCATCCTCCTGGTTAAAACTTCACTGGATGCCGTCAGAGTTAACCTAAATTGAAATCGGCTCAGTGCCTGCCTGAGTTACAGCTCAGTGGCCTGTGAGAGATGTGACTCTGCCTTATTTGCCTTGTATGGGCTTTCTGGTTCACCACCGGTTGGGGGGTTGGCAGAGAGGTGGGTGAGATTGTTACAAGGCCTCTTAATGCAGTCACGGAAATCAAAAGACTCACGTGCCAAAATTAGATGCCATCAAAATCATCCCGTTTGTGTCGTAAATAACAGGGGTGGTGCTGGTAATAAGTAAAGGTCCTTTAGCATGAAGGCCAGAGCTTCTGTTAGGTGACCCTTGGTGTGCAGTGCTCATTATGCTTCTCCTGCTTGTTTTCAGGTCGGACTCACCGTTCCAACCAGGTGACTGCCCCCGAGTACATCTTCCTCATCTCGGAGCTGGCGGGAGAGAGGCGCTTCGCCTCCATAGTGGCCAAGCGGCTGGAGAGCCTGGTACGTGGTCCATACCCCCCGCCACCCCGACACCCTGAAGCCGTCATAATCTTGCATTCCTCTGGGCTCCCATGAAGTCATGACAGCTTTCTGGCAGATCCTGCACTATTTAAAAATAGTTGATGTTATATATATAGGATTTTTTTTTCCCCCAAAGCTAAAACAAGGAGCAAGTGATCTGAAGCTTCTGGACGCTCTTTTTTTTTTTTCCTCTTGCCTCTTGGTTGGCCTGTGTGCTGTAGTTGCTTTTGTCCGAAGGGTAGAAGGTGTGCTTTATCCTTGGTTCGCTGCCTTGATCGGCTCTGGTGCATGCTTCCTTTCAACTTGGAAAAACATCTGTTATCTAAAAAGGGATTATGTCACAGGTGCTGCTAAACCTGCTCTGGGACTCGTAGACTAAGTTCAGCATTAGCTTCTGATCAAAGAAGAGCTCTTTGTTCTGACTGGGATAGAAGTGTATTAAGCAGGGAACAGGGTACATGGGTCTTGGTACATAAAAATAGTTTTTCTTGTGTGTAAGTATGTTAAATAAATTTAAATGTCTGACAGCTCAGGGAATCTTTTTTGTATTTTTTATGACTTCTTCTGTTTTCTGAGCACATTCTGCACATGTAAGAGTTAATTCCTGGAGTTCTGGAATACCTCACTGTGAAAGCAGCCTTTGTATTGTAATCAGCTCTGTGAATCAAACCTAATCATGTCCTGTTTCAGCAACCTTTGTGCGCACACACACACTCAGGGAATCGTCTGGCAGTGAAATTGCTTTTCCCTGAGGTTCAGTAAGGTAGAACAATATTCTGCTGGATTAAAGACCACTCCTAATTAGTAAGATTTTACCAATTTTCTGTCATTTGTTTAGCATCTGCCCTTATCTTTGTACATGTATGAAGTTGTATAAAGATGATGAAATGACCAAAAGGCTTGCACAAACTTAAAAGCACAGTGCACGTTTGTTGGACTTAAGGAAATGGCAAAACTCAAAACAGTACCCAGAGAGTGTGGATGCAGTGCAGCCTCCTGCATTTTACTTCGTGTTTGCAGTGGACAAGTGTAACAATCAAACGTCACTGCCAGTTTAAGAGATAGGAATGTTAGTGCAATATTCCTATGGCACAAGATCTCTGCCGGTTTAAGAGATGGGAGTGTTAGTGCGTTATGGTGAAAGAGTGACTGAAGAGTGCTGAGAGCTGAAAGATTACATTTGCCGTCTTGAGCGATTCCAAAGGCACTTCTGACCTCTGGTGTGGCTTTATTCCGTGGCTAAGGGGTGAGGAAGTGGGATAACGGAGAGCAAGGGATGGAGCTATGTGAGGTCTGGCTGGAGAAAGAGTGGGTTTTGAGGGGTACATAACGGACAGATTACCCTTGATTGTAAAATCGTCAAATTGCACTACTTGACACTTTAATATGGTGTTCTCAGTGCACGATTTGAAAATCTGGAGTATGTAAGACTCTGACGTTTCTGATAACGTAAGCATTATGGAAGCCACTTTCCAAGTATACCATGGTTTTAAAGAAACTGAAGATTCAGTTGTGTACTGTTCTAATTTACTGCTGCTTTGAAGAGTGTTGTGCTGGTTTAAAGACGTTTCCTTGCTTTCCAGGGAGCTTTAACTCACGGCGACAGGAGAGCAACGGAGTCGAGGGACCTGAGCAAGTACAACTTTGAGAACAAGGTACGAGTGATTCTCTGGCCTCGGGTTACCCTGGCTCTGTTAACGCCAGGCTGACGGCGGTATGATTGGTATTAAATCATAATCCTACTGGAAAAAGAAAATCATTCCCTGCTATTCTGTAGGAGAGGTCGGTTCTAAACTGAAAGAAAAATATTGAAAAATATAATTAGTAGACAACCTTAATCAACCGCTTTTGTGTTAATTGAAATTTTTTGCCCAGTATTGCATTGAAATGAACCTTGAGGTTGAATTGAAAGGTCTGTTTCATTTTGATGATATGTCTCATTTTGCTAACTGGTGTAGTCACCGAGACTTGATGAGTTGTTGTTTTTTTTTCTTGCAGTATGGCACCAAGGCTCTGGACAAGATTACTAAAGCCATCCTGGGGCAGATCGAGAGCAAGGTACCCCCTCCTAAAGGCTACCCGGGTGGAGATGCCATGTTCTTCAGAGGTGAGGTCTGCTTGCTGGCACCACTGTGCCCCTGCCAGGGATCTGAGGACTGAGGTTCATGGCATTGCATTATTGTGTGTGATGGGTGAATCCGCCTTGTTATTTCAGACATGAAGCGAGGAATGATTGACGTGGGAATTTTCTGTAAGGAGCCACGATTTGGCATCAGTACAGAAAAAGGTGAGTGTAGGCATTGTATTTTTACTGGTAAAATATGACAAGGAAATGATTTCATTTTGATGCTTAGCATATATACAGTATGTACTTATCATATGTATGCCACCAATGCTTTTCGAAGAACAAAGTCTACAGTTTTGCTTATTGATTATATACTTTCGGTTTTATTTGGATTATTTCATTTGGATTGATCATTCATGACTTACAGGCACATTTGTGATCGCATAAAAACTCAATCACCTCACTGGGTGAAAGAGGTCTTTGGGCACATTTAATGGGGTGATTAAACCTGTTGAAACCCAACAGGGTTGATAGAGCTCAAGAAAGGAATCCAAGGGTGCCACTTATCAAAAGAGCAATGCCCTTCTGCCCCTGGTATGTTGGAGGCTGGGGTTTGTCCCTCCAGACTTGGTAGCAGTGGAACCACATCTTCTTAAATGGTGAATGAAGGTTTTTTGCAGGCTATCCTCATGGATGTCAGTGAGTGTGATGCAGGTGTGCATAATACACTGGACAACGGACTATGAATGGATAGGTCCAAGTCTGGTGGTCTAAGTGTGTAGCCACTAACAAACTCCTCTTGTTGCAATGGGACTACATCATGCTACATTGATGACATCCTAGAACCTCACTTGCTGCCCTTCCTGCAGGTTCCTCCCGATGTGATAACAGTCCATCAGGACAATGTTCATCCCCATGTCGTTCTTGTAACAACAGCTTTCTTGCGAGACTGACCTGAATGCGGTTCTCCAAGACCAGGCTTGGTGACCCCAGATGTAGACTGTGTGCAGAAGCTTGTAAGGTTCAGCACGGTCACAAACCCACCATTCTGAAACGGCAGCACAGGTCTGCTCCGTGTTGTGTTGGCTCGGTCAGGGTGTTAAGTGCTGACGTAGCCAGATTTCACCATCTGCAGCCCTTTCCCGTAGGCGAGTTCCAGCTGCAGTTCCTCATGATGTTTGTGTTTGCCTCTCCAGACTGCAGCATCACCAAGTTCCTGAACCGTATCCTTGGCCTGGAGGTGCACAAGCAGAACTCTCTTTTCCAGTACTTCACTGACAACTTTGACTACCTGATCGAGAAGGACAAGAAGGAGGGCAAATATGACATGGGCATCCTAGGTACAGAGCTGTGTATTTGTGTTCTTGAAGGCCTAGGCTTCACTGTAGCGATGAAAGTAGTGTTTGGATCATGTGCAAGCCTATATAAAGTGTTCAAAATACACCATTTGCAGTCACTTTTTATGGTATGTGGTTATGTCTGGGTACTCCTCACAGCTTTACCCGATCATAGCTTCGGCTTTCAATGCACCCTTATTGTAACAAAAGAGGTCTGTATATGAAGAGACTTTATGCTTGCTAGGATGGTCTTAGTAGCCTCAGCTTGAATACACATGCTGCAAGTGCTGTATCTCCTTTCTCTACAGACCTGGCTCCAGGAAACGATGAGATCTACGAAGAGACTCAGGAGAAGTTCCTTACACTGGGAAACCCACAGGATGGGCAGGTGATACTTTATAAGGTAGGCATCTCAGACAGTGGGTCCACTCCAGGTTTCTCTTACTGCACTTGGGTAGTAAGATGTATTCATGATTCAAGATCTGTGCCACATTTTTTCACATCTGTCTCACGCTGCTGGAGGTTCAATTTATTGATACATTGTTGCGGAGGTTAAAATACTACTTGATCTCCAGCTACCATTTCTGTAACAGTTTTTAAGGTAGAGGAATATTGGTAGAGAATTACTCAGTTCTCAGGAGTCACTGCTTGTGTGCAAAAGGATAGACCTGATCTTCAAATATTTCCCTTGAGGTCGTTCGTCATGATTGTTGTTTTTGGTTCCTGTTATGGGACTCAGTTTGATTCAGTGGTGCTCAGTGCAAAACCACACCCTTGGCTTTGAACAGGTAGCTGTGGCTGATTGCATGCTGACAGAGCCATCACAAAGCCTTGCAGTTACTCGTGGCAAGCAATCTAAAAAATACCTCAAAGAAAAAGCCTCTGAATTAGACTAGGTGAGAGGAGTCTGAAAGTGCGAGTGAATCACAGCTATAATCTTGCCCTTGCTTTTGGCCAATTTAAAGACAACTACTCGAATGCCATCTGACGCAATATAAACTGGTCTAGCTGCTTAAATGAGTCTGATCTGCTCTTCGTGATTCTGCCTGTTTCCTTGAACTGCAAAGGACACAGGATCTCTTTTAGACTTCGTAGAGGCCAAAGTGCCATAGTGGATATAAAGTTATATTTTTAGAGCTGTGGCACTCCTATCTGCAGCATCCAGATTGATCTTTCAGCGCTTTGGCTGATTGATGGGTCTAACTTTGAGCTGTTCTTTTTGTGTCCCCAGATCAGTGTGGACCGAGGAATGCCCTGGCAAGAAGCATACAGTAAATCTCAGAAGCTCAGTGGCCCCGACGAAGGGTTCTATCTCTCATACAGGGTAAGGAGATACCGTGAACACAAACTCTTTCTTGTGTATGCATGCAATTCAGCATATTTATTAGGACTGGCTGTTCTTCACCCCACTTCCTCCTGGTGCATTAGTTGACAGGTAGTGCTGTTATTTATTGTCTTTTCAATAAATGAGCATTGCATTACTTTGGATTTCAAATTACAAGAGAACTTTGGCAGAGTTTATTAAAAGTGTTTGTGTAAACCCAAGCATTTTTTAACTAAAGACGATCATGGTCAGTTGTCTTTGCAAGACATTAAAAATAATCGCAAGGGAGCACTGATCCTGCATATTCAGGAAAAGAAAAAAAATACCAAAACGCTTAACCAAATCAGTTTCACGAAGCATAACGTCTTTCAAAAAGATAATGCCTAGGAAAATCTGGGAAGATCCTATAGGAATCTTTGGCTTCACTCTCCTGGCTGAGAACTACATGGCCACAGAACCAGGAAGACAGGACCCCGCAGAGAATGATGTTCACCAGGGGGGAGCTCCCCAGGTGGAGAGGAGGTGGAGAGGGACTGGACGAGGGATGAAGGAAGACTGGTGTGACTGGCCAGAGAGTGAGAGGCTCGCTAGGCTTTCCTAGTTTCTCCGGAAGCGAGGCCATAAGAGGAGCAGAGGTGAACGTCACCTTGGTCGCTGTCATCTGTCCCGAATTGTGTTAAACACCTCATTGCGTTTCAGAATAGTCCAAATCAAAGAAAACCTGATCTCCCACAATCTTACTGGCTCTAAAGAACCTTGAAGTGGGGATGATGCAGACTGGCAGAGCTGAAGCCAGTTGCCTGCTGCTGTTCTAAGTGTTCACTCTTCAATTTTGACGGCTCTCCACAGTTGCGGGGGAGTCACCCGTGTGTACTGCTGGCCGAGCAGGGCCGGGGCAAGAACTTCACGTTGTACAAGCCCAATATCGGCAAGCAAGCGCATCCCGAGAGCTTGGACAACCTGCTCAAGAAGTACCGCAAGGTGAGGGCCTGCTAGGAGCACTTGTCATGCATTGTACAGCTGAAACACTTTCTTGAGTTATTCCGCCCACTTCCTTTTTAGTTTCTAATTTTATTAGACTTTCCAGCAAGTAGAAAGCCGCCGGGGGAGGGAAAAGATTGCAGTTCGTCAGGGGTTACTGAACATTGCCATTTAAAAGACTGATTAAATAAAAGATGAAAGCAGTAAATTATTTTACTTTGCATATGTTTTACCTGTAAATCCTTCTTATTGTAAATGCAAAGTTTGAAAAAAATGGGATTGTTTTCTCCTTGAATATTGAGTTTGGTGATAAGAAGTAAGGATGGGGTTTATATCTGGTTTTGCATGCTTGAATTGTTTTGTTAGCACTGCTTTTTCATTCAAGATACCTTTACAGGTTTATACTGACACCTAGTGACAGCATTTTATAAATGCACCTCAACGTCTACATTACCATCCATTCTAATAAAAAAGAAGTTTAATACATAATGCTGGCATAATACATCAGGGAGAACAAAATTATTAAATGCTGCTGTTAATGTACAGCATTTCACACAAACAGTCCTGAGAGAGGTCCTGGGTTTTTTTAACATGGTAGGCATTGTTTGGAGAAGTCTGGGCAGTGTATTCAAATCGAAGGAGCTGGTAATCCCTACCAGCCAGATTTCAAGGTCTTGGACTTAAGGATACTCCTCTTCTCCTGCTCGTGTGACTTGATATGCTGTGCTGACTTCCAGGTGACCCCAGAAGAGGCCCAGGATCCCTGGGAGAATCAGTTCCAGTTCTCCTTCCGGAAATGCAGCCATGCCAACTGGTGAGTGTGCAGGGCTGGCGCCCAGCCGAGCAAGCGGGAGCTGGGAAGCTGCGGCCGTCATGACAGGAAGCAAACCCAGCTGGCGTGCCGGTATCCTGCAAATGTGCCATTCCCCTGTCATGGAAAGGGTCTGGCTCTTTGTCAGTCACTGACATCTCGCTGAGAAGTCGGAGCAGCTTCTTAAAGTCTTTTAAGCAGACAATAGTGTTGCATTTTGGGGAGATCGAGCACCTAGATAACTGAATAGTTAGGAAAGGGATTTTTGAGCTCCCTGTGTTTGTTGACGGAAGCTGTTGACGGGTCCCTCTTGTTAGTTGTGAAGCGTGTGATGTCCAGTTGCCTACTTGAGCGCGGCAGGTGTAGCTGAAGTGACCGTGGGCCGCCCTGCTCTGACCCCTGCACCCTCCCACACCCCTCAGGAACGGGAAGTGCAAGCAGATCGAGGAGGGGCACGAGTGCTGGCAGGGCATGCGCCTGCGGCAGTACCACATGCTGTGCGGCGCCCTGCTGCGCGTCTGGAAGAGGGTGGCGGACGTGGTCTCCGACATCACCAACTCCAGCATCCTGCAGATCGTCCGGCTCAAGACCAAACAGAACACCAAGCAAGTCGGTGAGTCCCGGGACCGGGGCCGCCGCTGGCATGGGGGGAGTGCGTGAGTGTGCGTTGTTGCCAAGCACGGTGAAAGTGCGGAGTTAGGCACCTCGACCACCTTCTAGTGTAAAATATTCAAGTGTGCCTAGTATAAAACTAACGTTACGGGCAAAGAAGCTTGATATTATTGCAGGACTGTCAGAATTATGAGAACCACATCATGAATGGTCAATTTGTTTGACGTATGGGCATGTGCTGTGTATATCTGCCACAGTGTATTATTTAGCAGTTGCACAGTGTTACTGCATGACTGACAGTCATCACAGGTAAGCTTGCATGATCGTATGCGCCCGCGTGCAACTAAAGGATGCCCAGCCAGCTCTGCGAACGCTTAACTCAGCGCCCTCTTTCTCTGTGCCCGCAGGCATCAAGATCCCAGAGAACTGTGTGCTGCGGGTGCGAGAGGAGCTGAAGCAGATGGACGAGGAGGTCAAGAGGAAGCGCATGGAGCGGCTGCAGCGGGCGCAGGAGCAGCGGGAGCAGCGGGCGCAGGAGCTGCGGGCGCAGGAGCTGCTGAGCCAGCAGAGGCAGATCCAGGAGCTGAAGAAGTACTTCACCGCCCCGATGCCCCTCGACCTGTCCGGCCAGCCGCCGCTGCTGAACAAAGTGCCAGGCATGGCCCCTGGGCCCAGCCTGCACATGCTGCAGTTCAACAGACACGCCGCGAGCAACCACCTCAGCTCCTTGGATGACATGCTAGTGGACCTTACCAGCAGCCCCTCGCCGACGGCCGACTCCGGGCCGTGCATGGACGGCGCCGGGAGCACAGCGGCCTCCCTGCAGGAGGAATTCAGCCTGGAGTCTTTCATCTCGCCCGCACACCTTGGCATCGCACAGGCGCAGCAGCAGCAGCAGCAGCAACATCAAGAAAGCCAGGCGGCGCACTCGGCCCTCATGCAGTCAGACTTCCTGGATTTCCAGGAGCCCCCTTCCTCTCTGAGCTTGCCTCCGTCTTACCCTCTGTCGGCCCAGGCGGTCCTGCCCTTGACGACAATGCCCAGCTCTGTCCCCACTGCTTCCTTGGTTTCCTTCTCCTCCTCCTCTCTAGTCCCGTCAGAACAGCCGCTCTCCTTGCCCAACGGGCACTGCAGCACAGACATCAACTTCCGTGAGGTTTTGGACAGCATGTTGCGGACCAACCCGGGACGCCAGTCTGTTATCCAGTACAGTATGAACCAGTTTTAAGTGGCTGGCTAGTGGCACCCTCCATCCCTTCCTGGTGCAATGAGCATCTCTCTCTCTGTCTCTCTCCCTCCCCCCCCCACAGTTCAGGCCTCAACGTTACCTTGCCTGAAGTATTCTTTTATCTCTGATTTTTATATTTTGATGTTCAGATCTGTTTTACAAGTTCTACAAAAAGAAGAACAGAAGGCTCTTCTCTTTGTCGTTTAGGAGTTAAAATTAACAAAAGCATCTGTATTTTAGCTAAAGAGAAATTGGACATGTATGGCAACAATATTACTTGTAGTCAACTCAAATCTCAACTCTGAGGCTCCTGTCCTTTCAGTTGTTTTTACTTTTTTTTTGGGAGTCTGCATCCCCTCCCCCCCAAAAAAACAAAACAAAACAGTGTAGTCATCTCTAATTCATTGGCCATTTTCCCTGCTGGAGAGTGCACGTGGTCCTGTACAGGGATCTGAGTGGACCAGAGTCTGTGAATCATAGCCATTGGGTTGCAGCAGATTCACTGCAGTCTGCAGAGAGAGAGGGCTGCACATCCAGCAGGACCGAGGGACTGAGGCAGTGCGGCTGAACATGGGCAGCCTGTGCTCAGGAGTCCAAGAGCCTTCTGGTATTTATTCCACATTGGCTCTCTGCTGAACAGTTGCACTAAGCATTAGCATACTTAGTCAAATGTAGGCAGTCTCTATGAAGAGTACCAGCCTTGAGGACCTGGTATCCCAGTCTGTGGCTTAGTAATTCATACTAAGTGGGCTTAGAGTCTTATTGTCTTCTTAGCTCCAGTATTTAAGCTGTGGATGTTCTTGTTTCCTTTTCTTTTTTCAAAACGGTGAGGCTTCAGGAGTCGCCATCCCCTGTGCTGTTAATTCGAAAGACTGGTTTGCATCTTTGACCTCGCAGTGATCTGGCGCTCGAGGCTTCCTGCAGAAAACGGTCAGGGTGCCTGAGATGCATTGCTTACCATGGGAGCGGAATACCGAGTTCAGTTTGCACGTGAAACTGGAGCAGGCCACACCACTTGCTTTGAAATGGTGTCCTCTCCGTACTGAGCTGTCTCTGCTTGTCCTTGACCAGAAAGGCAAAACCTGATTGAACTAAGCTGCGTTTAGAACTGTCACCTGAAGAGGCACAGGTGACCTGTCAGCTGGTGCTCCTCTGTCCTTGCTTCCTTTCTGCTGTGCACCTAGTTTTTGCTTTCATGTTGTTTTTGGTGAGAGCATGTCTCCCCCTGCTGTCCACACTGTGCTATAGCAGCACATTTTGGAAAGGATCCAGAGCCATATGCAGTCCCTCAATGTATGCTGACATTGCAATGTTCTCTGAAAACTTTTATAAATTGTTATAAAGGTTTCATGCACATTTTTCTTATATAATAGGGTACTATTAGCATCAAAATGCTTTGGTCTCCTTTCCTCAATGTATAAACTAGAACTGAGATTTATTTCGTGGCAAGGTTAACATTTTCCAACACACTGCAGTTATTATTTTTTTTAAATACACAACTTCCACTTTAAAGCACAGGAGAAAATAAGCGTGTCGTAAAACAGATGCTTCTGAATCGGATCAGCCATCAGTGGTCAGAAGCTTTTCAAGTTTAAAGAAGCAGTGTTAAGCTTAATTTTTTTTCTTTTTCCGGGAAAAAAAAAAGTCAAGGAAAGGCCACCCAGAGAAAGACACAGGTTTTTGTTCTGGTTGTATTCACCCCATAACCTCAGTGCTGTACCACTGTCCTCCCCTCTCTGTCCCTCATCAGGCGGGGCTGGTGGGGGAGTCCTTTTCCACGGCTGGAAAAAAGAAAACAGACTCCTTTTACAACAGTGCCTTTGGAACATGCTAAGAAATGCAGTCTTTTTATTATGCGTGTATATACATTTGTACTCCAGTAGTGGTTGTCTAATTTCTTAGAACTGATTTTAAAAAAAAAAACAATTCCTCCTGATCTCCTCTGCACTGCCTGAACAGCACAGATCTGCGGCCTCGTGTCCAGACTGTCCCACTGCTGAGCCCACATTGTGGTTGAACAGCAGCCTCGGTATGGCAGTGCCACACGGCTGTGGTGCTCGGCAGTCTGTTCATGTCCTGCGTCACACGGGACCTTCCTTTAACCCGCGAGGAGTACCCCCAGATCAGCAGGACTGTGGCTCTTCCCTGACAGACAGGGCAGGAGGACTCACTTACAATTCTAGCTTTGTTGTACTTCTGACCGGCATTAATACAGGGGGGTAAGGCTGCCTTGGCGCTTTGATCCTGTTCCAATAAATTGGAAGTCATTTCTTTAAAACATGCAGTTGATTCCTGCTCATTCGACTGATCGTGGCTATTAGGATCAATGAAAGAAGTTAAGGGGCAGTTACGTCCTCATGGGCGGAATTTATAGAACGAAGTGCAAAGTCAAAAGTTGCCTTCCCCCATAATGAACACAAATATTACACTTGTGGTGATCGTCCTGTGTGGTGAACAGTGTGTTTGGCTCTTGTATGCAGTGTGACCTTTCACAACAGCATACACGGCTGAGCGGACATTCTTGTAGGCCTGCCTAAATACTCAGGTAAGTCTGCAGTCTTTGATGCTGCATTAGCCTCCTTTGCTTCTCATGTAATCCCAGCCTGTCTACCCGAACAGCAATTCCCTGTCGCAGCTGGGCGAGCGAACGAGAGTAGCCCGCGCTGCACCCTACTCCAGTGGGTTAACGGAAGGCCAGGCCCAAGCAGAGTAGCCCGTCTCCTGTCTCTGCCTGGAGAGGGCGTGTGACTTAGCAATAAGACATCCTACGAGACATCTGCATTGATGCTGAAAAACCTCTCAAAAATGTTGTTTACGCTCAGAAAAGGAAATTGAAAAGTAAATATGTTCAGAATAAAGTTTTATCTCAATCGATTACTTTGAGAACGTCTCACCTGCTGCATACAAACTTTGTACATAACAGACATACGAGTTTGGAGTCCTTTATTTTAGGACCGATAAGGCTTGTGTCCTATGTTGTAAAAATGGGGTGAAAGCAATGTATTGTGTTAAGATTATTATTGTCATTGATGTTATTATTATTTATATTTAAGGGACTTCTTAGAGGAAATTTTTAGAATATAATCCTGTTCTGTAGTTTAATAATACTTAATGTTATGTCAGGGACTTTTCTAGAAAACAAAAAGAATTACTTTAAAAATATATATATATTGTAACCTGCCACCAAATATATTGCACTGTTCTGTACTGCTGTACAGGATCGCTGTATTCGTTTCTCTTTCCTTTCTGTTGTAATTTTGTTTTGATTTTTAGGATTATTCTCAGTAATAGTTATTTTTTTCCACCTAGGGCTTTAGAATGCGAAGTGATACCAAAGTGTTCAGCTCCTGAAGTTACCTGCTAAAACTGTTCTAAATCTCAGGAAGAAACATGTATATATATACACATATATGTATAAACATGTAAGCATTTGTTTATATGTATATGTACATGTATGTGTACATGTGCTCAAATATGTTGATAAAATGTTGAAGCAGTATCCCTTTTTCAAGATCACAAAAACCAGTGCTGAATTATTTTAAAAATTCAGCACTGTGATGTTGAGACAAAAAAGAGATACTGGCTTTCTCTAACTTGATGCTTGGATGCCATTGTTCAATATTGTAAAGCTTTGTTCATTTAAAATGTTTATGCCTTCTTAGGGTGCAGATCAAATCTCGTTTCCAAATGGGAACATTTAACTTCGTTTGGTTTTGTTTGTGTATACAGTTGTTTTTGTGTACGATAACAAGGCTGGAAAAAAAATCTAAACTGAGAAAGCTTAATGGTTTGGCATCAGCCCTCACCTAAACTGACAGATATTGAACAGTTTAGTACTAAGTGTGCTTTGCTTGTTAGTTGGAGTTCCTTTGCATGGTCTCCTGCCCATCTCCAAGAATCGCACAGTGACTTGCTTTCTCCTCTCACTGGCCATTAACTCATCCTGCTTCATGACTGGTTCTTGGCATGCAGCGTACGCAGAGGTCATAGGTGCCTCTCGCTGCATGCAAACAGCTATGCTAATCTTTTTGTTTGGAGGTGGCAGAACACTTTATCCTGTGCAAGTGACTGAATGCATCATTCAATAAAAAACCAGGATACAATACAGAAATGTAGATTAAATATTGAATAGTCACCCTTTTGAATTTTAAGGCTCCTTGTGGGGAAAATCCATAGCAAAGCACATCTCTTATTCAGTGGAAAGAGGAGGAAAAAAAGGCAATAAAAGACATCTTCGATAAAAATATTGCAGTGAAAACAATGAAATGTGACAACAGGGCAAGAGACCCGTGGAGCTCATTTACTGAAAAATCCCATTTTAAACTTTCTTGTGGTTTTTGGGACTTTCTTTTTTAGTGATTTGTACTAAGAATGGCATAATTCTGTTATCGTCCAAACAAAGTTAAGAGCCCATTTTGTATGACTCAAAGCAAGGGAATCCTTCGTGTTCCTAACCTTTTACCGGTTTGTGTTTTATAATTAAATTTATATATATATAAACTTTCCTGACCTGGCAGTTTTCAGAGTGTCACATTTAAAAATAAATTATTGCTAACAAAAAAGAAACATGCTACTGATTGTATGTATTTTTTAAAAAATGCTATTTTTTCTGTAAAACTGTTTAGCACTTTTATCCTGGGTTTGCTTTTGTTTTCTATATATTTATAATTTAGATCGGTGTATATATTGTACAAATTGTGCCTTTTAACTAATTCTTTTAAAAGGTTTTCTACTTATATCTGAAGGAATATATTGTATTGCAATCTGGTCTTTGTTAACAAAATAAAGTCAATAAAAAGTAAGGGATTGCAGACATGATTTAAATTGTTACCATATTTTGCTGGTGGGCATTACATTGGTTTGTTTTAAACTTTCACAACCCCCCCTGCACCTAAACTTTTAATGGCTTAATTAGATCATTGAACTTAATTCTCATGTATTACCGTGTCTTTAGTTCCAGGTGAGGTGTGCCCCGATACTGGTGGGCAGCTATCTGCAGATTATCTTGGCCTGGACTCCCCAAGTCCTGAACTTGCTGTCCCACACCTGCTTTTTTGTTGTAGCCAAATTCTCTTACACTTTAAGTTGACTTAATGTTTAATCTGAACCTTTTCATTGTTTCCTGTTCTAAGAAGTGTTGAAACCTTTTTTAACTTGTACATTTCATAACAAAGCTCTTAGGTTCTGAGTCGAAAAAAATCCCAAGTATTCAAATCAGCTTGTTAAATGTTAAATTAAGGCTTTAATTAAAAAGATCAGCTCACGTGGATTGGGATTTCTAAATTTTCCATTAGTGTTTTTCTCAATCCTGGGCCTGGTGGTTATCATTCAGCCCCAACTTCATAACTGAAGCCTTACATGATCCAGTACCTGAGTACTTTTGTAACTGTGACTGTTCCTGCTTTTCATTCCAATTAAGGCAGTATGCCTTAACAGACCAAGTACATCAATAATTCATTCATAATTGGAAAGCATAGTCCCTACTGATACTCGGCTCCTGTTGGGACTGCTGTACAGATATTCACTAGGGCTGTAGTCCATTGAAGTTTTAAAGTCAACAATTCTTAATAGGTAAAGACTAAAGACTTACAGAAAGTCATAGGATGGCCCAAGTAAGTGAATGTCTGATGAGGTTATTAGTTCACAGTGGACTGAAAAACAGGCTCCCAGAATGAGAGGTCTGATCTAATTAAATATGGAATTGTAATACTTCTAACTAGACCCTAAGGGAGTTTTATAATTGTACCTTTAATAACAATGTCTTAGTTGATCAACTTTGAAAAACACAGATGTAGCTGAGACTAGGTTTAGGGACTAGCCTGGTTGAAAGACTGAGTACAAGAGTGGTATCTTTATTCACCAGACAAAGAAAAAACACAAAGGATCCTGTAATTAGCAGCCTAAAACTATTGCTCAAACTCAATAGTAAGCGGCAACATTTTTTCTGTAAACATGGTGGGATGCTTAAAAAAAAAACAACAATACCCATATTAAAGTACTCAAGAAAACATTTAAAACCCAATCAAACAGATACAGGAAAGCGTACCCATGTCACATGGAAACACAGGAGCCACAGATCAAATGTTTTGTGTTTATTGTCGGTCACGGCATAAACATGGCTTGGGATATACATATTTATACTGAAGGTGGAGGAAGTGTCCTCTCGTGTGGCACAGCTGGGGGGGGTTGTAGCTCCTCCCAGGGAGGGGGTGCACGCCGTAATTCATCAGGCCTGCCCTCCCCGTTAGACGGGTTTAGGGGCAGGCCGTCACTGGTCTGGGGGGGACAGCAGACCCCCAGCTTTCCACAGGCGAGGACAGGAGAGAAGGATGGAGACCGTGTGGGATTCCAGGTCATCCGGGACCACCTACAGGTACTTGGGGAGGTCCTTTTCAACCACCTGAGGGAGAGACGGGAAGAGCAGAGACAACGTCACAACAGGGGCCCGTTACACACCTGCAGGAATTCTGCCTAGCTGCAGTCCGAAATGGACCTGGAACTGAAATTACCCCTGAGCTGGCGAGAGAGGAACAACAAGCAAACGGAAACAATACAGCCTAGGGAGAAAGTAATGTACCAAAATAACATTGAGAGTAAACCTTGTTATAGCCAAGTTATCATTTGCATAACTGAATACTTAATTGGCTGCAATTTAGGACTTATTGGAACATTCAAATGTATTCAGCTGTTAAACATCCTGGAGTTGGCCTTTTAGCAATTGCGTTTTTAAAAGGAACATGAACCACCCATTTCTGCAGAATAAATCTTACAAGAGGTCTTATCAAATAACTGTTAAGGGTTTAATTAAAGAAATGAGCTCAGCAGGTGTGGGGAGGGCCTAGGTCGTTTCTAGAAGGACCATGAATTGTCGTACAAGTCTGAGTCCCCCCCCTCCTCTATTGTGTCAGGCAGCGAGGCCAGATCCAGGTTACTGCGGTCAGCCTCAGCGGTTAAAAGCAGACCCACAAACACCAGGGGATTTCGGGAGCACAGGGAAGAGGCGTCCCTGGCACCACGAGCTTTGGGTGAAGGGTTGGTTTCAGCTGCTGTGAACAGAAACAAAGCCCTTGTTATCCCGCCAACACAGCTGGAACGTCCTGTTGACAAACAGGGCCCTGTCTCCGCGTGACTCATTCCCGCCAGCACACCACAACAATCACGAGCCCGCCCTCGTCCGGAGCCGGGCCCTTCAGCACCACCCCTCTTGGGCTGCAGCTGAAGCTGATGGGACCTCAGGTGCAGGTCCCACAGGAATCAGGACACACTTCAGTTGTGTAACCAAATGGGCTGGGGGAGGGGGTATTGACTCCAACAGAATACTTTGCGTTTTCTTAACTCCACAAGCCTACATTACAAACACTCATATGACTTCCCACTTCATAATCCTTGCACAATCTCCACCCTCCCTGTTCAGCCTCTGCATTGTAGCTCTCAGCTCCTTTGAAAGGCTAAAGAGTCACTACTGCCAGTGCAGAGGAGGGGGGAGAGGAACTGAGATACAGAAAGCAGGAGGACACACACTGGAGGACTCCAGTTCAAACCCCACTGGTGCCGAGAAAGTTATCCATTCTACTTACAACTGGATCATCCATCGGAGAGTACCTCTTCACCACTTGCCCATTTCGGTCAATAAGAAACTAGTGAAAGAAAAAAAAAAGTGAACTTATTCAAAGCCTTAATCTCACAACTGAAACTTGACCCCAGAGAAATAAACCGGGCACAATTCTGTATAACAATTTTCAAGGTTGCACTCGTCGTGTAAATTACAATGGCATTTAGGTGCAATGTACCTCAAACGCACTCCTGTGACACACTAACACACTCCAAATGAAAGCAGTTTCACCCTGCACTGCTGCCCGGACTGCTTCCAAAAGTGTGGCCCGTTTCCTGTCCAGCAGGCAGTGTAGCTCACTCGCAGTCCTTAAAACTGCCAACCGGGGACTCGGGTCAAGCAGAACATTCTTAATGTAGAGCTCAGCAGCCTGTGACAGAACAGCGTGTACAACCCTGTACTACTACCCATTCAGCAGCGTGTCACTCAAAGGAAGTGGAAATCAGAATTCTATCCAACA